CCCCGTGGAAGTAGCGTACAAGCGGGGCTACTTTGATGAGGAAATGAACCGGATCCTCTCTGATCCCACAGACGACACCAAGGGCTTCTTTGACCCAAACACACACGAAAACCTCACTTACCTGCAGCTTCTGCAGCGGTGCCTGCCCGATCCAGAGACTGGTTTGCTGCTGCTCCACGTCATGGACAAGGGCTGGTCCTCCTCTTACCTCAACGAGAACATCAGGAAGGCTTTGCAGGCGGCCAAGAGCAAGATCAGCGTAGGGCTCTTCCAGGACCAAGAGGTTTCTGTGTGGGACCTCCTCTTCTCCAGATACATCCTTCCGTCCAAGAGGCAGGACTTGCTGAGGCAGCACAAAGCAGGCACCATGACACTTGAGCGCCTCACCCAAGTCCTCATCGCCATCGTCACCGAGGCAGAGGAAAAGAGCGTCAGGCCCATCGGTCACAAAGAAGCTCCCAGCCAACCAGCCACGACAGCAGATGCTGGCACAGATCAACCAAGCCTCAGAGAGCCCTGGATGAAGACCCTCGAGGCCACGACTGTGGATATGCCTGCAGGCAACTGCCAAGGGCAGAGGGTCACTCTGTGGGACCTGCTCTTCTCAAACAACATCCCTGAGGAAAAGAGGACAGAGTTACTGGACTTGTACAAAAGTGGGCTCCTGTCAACGGAGCGGCTCAGCAGCATCCTCCACACACTGGTTGCCAAAAAGGAAGCCACTGGCAGGAAGCTCAATGTGAAGGTGAGGAGTCCAGATCAACAGGCGGTGGCGGTGGTGGCAGCGGCGGCAGAACACCAGCCTCTGAGGGATTCTTCCTTAGACCCGGCAAACTGGGAAAGCGCCCTGCGCTCTCAGCTCCTCCCAGCACCTTCCGCTGACCAACAGTCCTCCGCTTGGGACATCCTGTTCTCCGAGCGCTTCGCAGAGCATGAACGGGAAGAGCTTCTGGGCAGATACAGGAGGGGCAGCCTCCCCCTTAAGGAGCTCACAAAGATTCTCTCCGACCGCCTTCCCAGGACCACAAGCAGCAAACGTCATCTTCCCATGGACTTCCACACACCCAGCTCAAGCACCGAGGCCAAAGAGGCCAAAGAAGAGGGGGAAAATGATGCTGGCGACCTGGGAGACAAAGAGGAGGCTCTGAAGTCCCGGATGGTGGAGGTCACCGCTGCGGCGTTTGACGGGCGTAAAGTGTCGGTGTGGGACGTGCTTCATTCCAAGTACATCCCTGAGGAGAAAAGGAAGGAGCTTCTACAACTGTACCAATCGGGCATCCTCACCATTGACCAGATGGAGACCGTGGTCTCCGCCATTGTCAATAAGACAGAGGAAATGAAAAAGAAAGAACCGTCCCACGCTCCCTTGCCTTCTGGCTCCTGGGAAGGTCCCTTGCGTAACCAGACCATGACCCTGCAAGTTGGCGAGTTTCAAGGACAGAGGATCTCCGTCTGGGAACTCCTCTTCTCCCAAAGCATTCCAGAAGGCCAAAGAGAGGAGCTGCTGATGAAATACCGATTGGGATCCTTGACCATTCAGGAAATGATCACCATCCTGACCTCACTTCACGCCAAGGACAGGACTTCTTCCCCAGGAGAGGAAACCACTCTTCCCTCCCAGCACAATGAACTGGAACGCACCTTGCGACAGGTGACCATAGACGTGCCTGTGGGTGAGTTTCAAGGCTCCAGGCGATCCGCGTGGGAGCTCCTCTTCTCCAAGTACGTGACTGCAGCCAAGCGCCAGGAGCTGCTGCTGAAGTACCAAGAGAGGTCTGTGGCCCCAGGCGAGCTGGTCCAGATTCTCACCACCCTGATTGAAGAGATGGAAGAGAAGGGCAACCAGCTGAAGTTCTCGGGGCTCAGGAAGCAGGTGTCGGCCTCAGAACTGTTCGACTCCCACATCATCAACCAGGCCACACTCTCCGAGCTCGCACAAGGCACCAAGACGGTGGAAGAGGTCACGGAAATGGATTCGGTGAAGAGGTACCTGGAAGGCAACAGCTGCATCGCTGGCGTGCTGGTGCCCTCCAGGACAGACCCTTCCAAGTCAGAGAAGATGACCATCTACCAGGCCATGCGGAAAGGCATTCTGAGGCCAGGCACGGCCCTGGTGTTGCTGGAGGCACAGGCTGCCACGGGCTT